TTTTTGGTGGAGTTTACCAGGGAAGTCATCTGGTCTGGATTATTCCTTTGGAGAACTTTTTGGTTATGGCTTCAATCTCCTAACCTATTAGAAGTCTGTTCAGAGTTTTTCTTTCTTTTTGAGTTTTGGTTATTTATGCGCCTCCAGGAATTTGTTCATATCATCTAGGTTACCTAATTTGTCGTATGACTGTTTGTACTAGTCTCTAGTAATACTTTGTAATGTCTATCTATATAGATATAGATGTATATATAATCGAGGAAATGTACATCATGAAAGAAAAAATAACATGCATGCATTTCAAAACTTGTTTGCACCAAAATACACTCATACTTTAATTCCTCTTTTTCCATGAGCTTTTTTTTTTGGAGAGGTTTTCACTATAGGGCACATGTGCTCGCCAGACAGACAGAGACAGAGAGACAAAAAGCAAGAAATCACCCCCCAGGGGGGATGGCCACGCCGCAATCCCTTCTCCTCCGTTCTCCTCTCAGGATCTTGGGCATGCACACACACGTGCCCGGCGTGAGTTTTAAGCCACCAAATCCGGGACGCAAACCACGGTCGGCTACATGAGAGTCCAGCAACATAGCCATTACACTAACTGCTGGTCCCCTCCATGAGCTATTTGAAGTCATGGAAACACACACATACACACATAAAATAATGGCATTACGGGGCCAACAGGTGGCATGGTGGGTAAGGCTCTGGACACCCACATGGCTGACTGCAGTTTGAGTCCCAGACCTAGTGGCTTTGTTTTTTCCTTTTCTTTGGCAGTTTGACTCCCAGACCTAGTGGCTTGCTTTCTCACTTTCCTTTTCTCTCTCTCTCCTGTTCTCTCTCTCCTTCTCTCTCTCTCTCTCTCTCTCTCTCTATCAAATTTTAAAATAATGACAAATAAAATGAACTAAATAGATACATCTTTTTTAAGTGTTTTCTAAACAACAGTAATCATAATAATGCCATTACAACACTGCACACCCCATCTCTAACCTACCTCCCTTTATGTAATTCCCGCAACTCATAGCACTGTCCCTGGATGTACAGAAGCAAGAAGAAAGGAATGTTCATTTGAGCCTGAATCAGGCAAAGATGCAGCTGAACTGGGATCTGGGAAAGAATTCTGACAACACAGGTAATGGCTGAAAAGACCAATCAGACCTCTTGGTGGGTCAAGATGCCCAAGGATATGAAAAATAGAGATATGTGTAGGGTGTGATGGGCTGCAAGGGAAAAACCCATCTAAGGAAGAGACCCTGGTGAAGACACAAAATTCAACTTTTCTGCCACCCCACAGGCTCCTCTGCGGTGGGCCTTGTCTCCACTCCAGGGATGGGCAAACTGCTGACTGAAGCACCCCTGGGCCCAAAGCCTGAGAATCGGACAGCTCTGAATCAGAATTCCAGTGATGTGCCACAGGGAGTCCCCCCTGTCCTGCTCTCAGACGTCATCTCTGCTTTTCTGAGCACCAAGGATGCCCAGAACCTCAGCTCCCCGGTCACCTTCACCTTCTCCCACCGTGTGAGTGTTGGGGGTGGGCTCTGGGTGTGGAAGGCACCTGAGTCCTGAGCACAGCCCTGCAGCTCAGCTCCGACTTGGGGTTTAGGGAAGCCCTCATGGTGCATCCTCTCCCCAAGGAAGTCACCCCTTCCCAAGCCAGCTCTGGGTCTGCATCTCTGAGCACCGGATGCACCAACTCATGCCTGTACCCTGTTCCTATAGACGCTGAGCTCTAGGCCAAGAGCAAAAGTGCTCTGTGTCTTCTGGGACCATGGAGGGGATGGATGTGGTCACTGGTCCACCACAGGCTGCAGGATGGTGACTACCAAGGAGGACAGCACCACCTGCCGCTGCACCCACCTCAGCAGCTTTGCTGTCCTCATGGCCCATAATGACGTGCAGGTGAGAGCCCTGAGAGGGGCTGCATTCAATGTCCATCTACGTAAAAAAATGCCCACACGTAAGAAGCTTAAAAGGGCGTGGGGCTGGATGGTAGCCCAGTGATAAAACACCACCCACCTGGTAAGGTTTCAGGATCACAACCAGAAACCTCCCTGACTACACCAGACATGTGGGTGCCCATGATCCAGGGCTGGATGAGACTGGGAATTGACTGTGGTATCAAGATCCTGTTGGGAGGGCTGTCTCTCTACCTCTCTGTCTCTCTCCCTAATGGAAGCTTGGTGTTTTGTTTTGCTTTGTTTTTTGTTTTTAGCATTTATTGCCATAGGGCACTGGCACTTGCTGGAGAGAGAGAGGAAAAGGGAAAAGTGACCCCACCTCCATGGGGATGGCCATACCACAATCCCTTCTCCTCCATTCTCCTCTTGAGATTGGGGACATGCACGCACATGCACCTGGTGTACGTTTCAAGCCACCAGGTCCAGGACTTGACCCACGGGTGGCCATGTGGGAGTCCTGCCATCTGCTGGTCCCTGGAAGAATTTTTTTAATTGCCAGAGGGTACAGACACTCACCAAAGGGAGACAGAGACAGCATCCCCTAGCAGGGCATGGTCATACCACAATCCCTTCTCCATTTCTCCATCCTGTTGAGATTTTCAAGCCACTGGGGATAGGATTTGAAACCTCACGAGTTCCAAGGCTGTCTTGAGTAAAGACTTCACTTGTCCTTTCGTTCTTCCTGTGGGTGAATTATCAGGTCAGAATCCTCTCAAATTCTGAACCGAGAGTCGCTTCGCTCCTCCATTCTTGCATTTGGAGAATTCAAGAGAGAGAGAGAAAGAGAGTGAGAGGGGAAGGAATAAAAGAAAGTGAGAGAGGACAGGGAGAGGGAAGAGAAGATAACTTGGTTCCGATCCTGAAACACACCAGTCTCAGACATTTTCCCAGAGTCCTGACAAGCTGAAAGGCAAGGAAAGGGGTTATCATGGCATGATGAGACCTTGTCTAGGGTGAACCTCTCTTTCTGTCTGTCTGTCTGTCTGTCTCTCTCTCTCTCACACACACACACATACACACACTCACTAACATGGATAAAAAATTAAAATAAAAAAAGTGGTGGGAGGCCAGTGGGTATGGTGGTTAAGGCACTGGACTTCCACATGGTCAACCATGGTTCATGTCCTGGACTTGGCTTCTTGCTTTCTCACTTTCTCTTTCTTTCTCTCTGTCTCTCTCTGGTGAGCGCACATGTCCTCTAGAGAATTTAAAAATAAAATAGTAACAAAATTAATTTTAAAGATAATTCTTTTAAAAAAAAAAATATATATATGGGAGCCCGGAAGGGGGCATGGTGATTGGTCACTGTCCTCCCACGTGGTTGACTGTGGTTCAAGTTCCAGACTTGGAGGCTTCCTCTCTCTCTCTCTCTCTCTCTCTCTCTCTCATTCCTTATAGCAAATTTAAAAATAGTATAAAATTAAATAATTCTTTATTGAAAAAAAATAGTTGAAGGATCGTTACCCCAGAAAGCAGGAACGTGTGACAATGACCTCTCCTTTTTCTGGGTCCCAGGACGAGGACCCTGTGCTGACCATCATCACCTACGTGGGGCTGGGCCTGTCTCTGCTGTGCCTCTTCCTGGCAGCCCTCACCTTCCTCCTGTGCAGAGCCATCCAGAACATCAGCACCTCCCTGCACCTGCAGCTCACGCTCTGCCTCTTCCTGGCCCACCTCCTCTTCCTCACGGCCATCGACCAAACCGAACCTGAGGTATGGACTGTCCCAAGGACCCCTGCCTGTTCCAGGAAGTGCTGGACTTCTGGAGCGATGCTGCATTGCAATCCTAATAAAATGATCTTGGGTCCAGAGGGAGGTTAGAAAAAGAAACCGCCAATTGTACATTGCCCAACTCAACTAGATAACAAGTCCTCTTGTTACAACTCCACCCTGTACAAGGGGACTTCAAAAAGTTCATGAAAGAGGCTGGCAGATGACACAGCAGTTATGTCACTGGACTTCCACATAGCCAAGCACGGTGTGAATCCCGGACCGGGTGGCTTGAAAATCATGCCAGGCACATGTACATGTGTGCCCAAGATCCTGGGAGAAGGGATTTCAGCAAGGCCACCCTCTTCCCCCAGGAAATGATTCCTCGCTTTCCCTCTCACTGTCTCTCTGTCTCTCTCTCTCTTGCAAGTGCACATGCCCAAAGACAAAAACCTCTTTTAAAAAAAGTTCATGAAAGATCAGTGTAGATACCTGATACTGTAAGGGAAGAGAATGAGTGGGTGCTAGAGAGTGGGTGATACAGGATGGGCAGGAGAAGCAAAGGGAAGAAACTTTTTTTTGAGAGAGAGAAATTTTTGCTATAGGGCACATGTGCTTGCCAGGAAGACAGAGACAGAAAGACAAAAAGCACACACACACACATACACCCCAGGAGGGGGGGGTGGAGTGGCCACACCACAATCCCTTCTCCTCTCAGGATCTTGGGCACATACACACACACATGCCCAGTGTGAGTTTAAGCCACCAGGGTCCAGGATTCGAACTGCAGCCTACCACATGGGAGTCCAGCGACAAAGCCATTATGCCAACTGCTTGGTCACAGGATGAAACTTTTATCAGACAAAAGAACATAGAATTAGCTGTTGGAGAAGAAAGCACTCTATGATTTTTGCTTCATGAAAAAAATAAAAATTAAAAAATGGAGAGAAAAGTTCATGAAAAATGGAATTAAAGTACGAGTTTATTTGGTGCAAAAAGATTTTTTTTTAAACCCATGCATAGTTTTTTTTTTTTTTTTTTCTTTTTCAGTTTTGCTAGAGGGGTCATAGACTCAACACAGACAGAGAGAGAAGGAAAGGAGAAAGCACTTCCCTCCCTTGTGGATTTTGGGCACACAAGCACACATGCAAACACGTCTGGCTTGTTTGTCAAGCCACCACGGCCAGGATTTAAATCATGGAGTTGGTCATGCTTTAAATAATTACTTTTTAATTTTATTTTATTTATCTATTCATGTATTCTTCATTTGAGCAGAGAAAGACACAGAAAGATATAGAGAGAGAGGGAAACTGAGAAAGCAAACCACCAGGTCTGGGACTTGAACCCTAGTCAGCCATGTGGGAGTGTCCAGAACCTTAACCACCACACCACCGCCACCAGCTGGTCCCATATCCACAAACTCTTTGAAGACCCCTTGTACATCAGAATCCTCCCCAGTTGGAACCAGCAGGTGGCGTAGTGGTCAAGGCACTGGACTGCCACTCTGGGACCACAGTCAAGTCCCAGACCAGCGATTTAAAAAAAAAAAAAAAAAAAAAAAAAAAAAATCACTCCCGACGCGCATGCGTGCGAGAGAGGTATGGAGGGGAATGGATGGCGGAGTGGCCACAGGGGAGGGGTGAGTTCTCTTTCTGTCTCCATCTCTCCAATGAGTGCATGCACCCTATGGGGGAAAAAAGGTTTTTTTTAAATCTTCCCATGGCAGGGTACAATGGGGACCCTGGTCTACTTTCAGACCCTGACTACCATTCTGAGTGGCTCTTCCCCGGCAGGTGCTGTGCGCCGTCATCGCGGGGGCCTTACACTACCTGTACCTGGCCTCCTTCACCTGGATGCTGCTGGAGGGCCTGCACCTGTTCCTCACCGCGCGGAACCTGATGGTGGTCAACTACTCCAGGGTGAACAGACTCATGAAGCGGCTCATGTACCCTGTGGGTTACGGAGTCCCCGCTGTGATAGTGGTTGTCTCTGCAGGAGTCAGGCCTGGCCTTTACGGAACATCTACGCGGTAAATGCAAATTCCACCTGTCCTTATCTTCTCGACACACCCATGGTGGTTACTAGAGCCCACATAGCATTTTCATTATGCTTGAGCATAATATGGGGAGAGAGAGAGAGACCCTAAGTATTAATCCCTAGGGCATGTTTTTGGTAAAAGATTATAATCATTAAGGAGAATGTCTTTAAAGCTATGTTGTTGTTGTTGTTTGAGAGGTTTTTGCTATAGGGTGCATGTGCTTGCCCAAGCGACAAGAGACAGAGAGACAGAAAGCAAGAATCATCCCCCACGGGAGAGGAGGGGGGGCTGGCCACACCACAATCCCTCCTCCTCCATTCTCCTCTCAGGATTCTGGGCACACACGCACATGCACCCGGCCTGAGTTTCAAGCCTCCAGGTCCAAGACTTGAACCACGATCGACCACATGGGAGTCCAGCACCTTAACCACTATGTCACCTGCTGGCCCCAAAACTCTGCTTTTGGAATAGCAAAAATGAAATCAAAAGAAAAGTTCGGAATATCACATTTTGTTCTTCTTTTTTTTTTTCTTTTTTAATTGCTAGAAGGTATGTGTTCTTGTTGGGGAGAAAGAGAGAAAGTGAGAAATCACCCCTCAGGGGAGATGGCCATGCTGCAATCCCTTCTCCCTCATTCTCCTCCCAGGATGTTGGGCATGTACACACAACACACCCAGCATGCTTCCCAAGCTGTCGGGTCTGAGACTTGAACTACAGAGTCAGCCATGTGGCATCTAACTGCCTAAATCACCACACCATTGACAGACTCATTCTTTTATATTCTTAATGTATTTGATGTTTTAATAATGAAAGGGTATTTGATTTTCTCAAATTTGTTTCTGAAACTATTCAGATGGTTGTATGATTTTCATCCTTTATTCTATTAATGTATTTTTTTCATTTTTACAACAGCTTTATTTTAAATATATAATGACAAAGTAATCATAACTTTGGGGAGAAAGTACTAATTTTTTTCCTTAGTCTCTTGTATACATTTTATTTTTTTATTAATTTATTTTACATACTTTCACTGAACATCACCACCGCATACAAATTGCAATTTTCCAGCCAGAATACACTGTAGAGTGGCTTAATCATCCATGTTATCATCAACAAATAATTTTCCATTTCCCCTTATTTCTCACCCTCTGCCATTTCCCATCCTCCTCCCACCCTGTCTCTGGTATCTGCAAGTTGCTTTTCATTCCCTTATTTCTTCTGACATTGTATTGATTCACAAAATACCTTAATTAATCTAAATATTTTCAATAGTAAATTCAGCTGATATATACTCATCTGTGAACAAAAGTTGACTTTAGGCATGAAACTCTGTGGGTAGAATGAATATACCATAAAATAGCTATATAGCTGAGGCTATATAGCTTACTGTGTTCACTAAATAGGTGTTTCTAAAATGCATTGTTTAATTTTAAGAAAGGCAGTTTTAGCTTTAATAAATCAAAATCAAAAAATGTTAAGAGAAATTTGCTTAATAATTAAAGCCAGGAAATAGGTTAGGATTCTGTTTGAGTAGTAGGTACGTGGACCTCTCCACAGCTCAAGAGAAGACAAAACTCCTTAACATTGGAAAACAAAGCATAGTACATCAATAATGTTTTAGTCAAAAGTCATAAAATTATATTTCACCAGTTCAAACTCATGTACTTTTTCTTCTGTTGCAGTCCGATCTTTCTGTTTAAATTCTAGAAGATAATGTTCAACTCTTGACTTGTCGCTACCATTAAGTTGGCCATTTTCTTAGTTGTTTTAGAACTCTCTTTTCTGTGTGTCTGACTTTAGTTTTCCTGGGATAGCACTCCCTTAAGAACTTCTTGGAGAACTGATCTGGTGTTGGTAAATTCTTTCAGGTTTTGTTTATCTGAGAAGGTTCTTGTCTTCTCTTCCCATATGAAGGATAATCTTGTCGGATATAGTATTCTTGGTTGAAATTGCTTTTCCCTTACCCTTCAAATTTATTTTCCCATTCTTTTCCTTGCTCACATTGTTTCTGATGAGAGGTCCACTGTTAGCCTGATGGGATATCCTTTGTAGGTAACTTGACATTTCTCTCTTGTCAAGCTGAGTATCTTATTTCTGTCTGTGGTTTTGATCATTCTGGTTATAATGTGTCTTGGAGAAAATCTTCTTAGGCTGATCCTATTTGAGTATTTCTTGGATCTGGATCTTTGAATGCCTCTCTATGGGAAGTTTTCTTCCAGGATTTCATGGAATAGGTTATCAATGCCCTAATTACTCTCTTCACCTCCTGGGATACAGATTATCCAGATGTTGGGACATTTAATGGTGTCTAGTATTTCTCTTATATTTTTCCTCATTTGGAGGGTTATTTTCTCTGTCTTTGTGGTGGATTTTACTAGTCCAGCGATTCTGTCTTCTACATCTGAGATTTGATTTTCTGTATAATATAGTCTGCTTTTAATACTTTCAAAGGAGGTTTTGACTTCCTGTATTATAGCCTTCATCTCCAACAGTTCCATTTTATTCCTTTTTATGGTGTGTATTTCCTTTTGGCTCTCGCAAGAACTTCCTAACCTCCTGGAACCCATCACTTTTTTCTTCTGGTGTCCATTGTCTCTTTTCTCTTCCATCTCTGTTAGTTTTGTCACTATGAATACTCTAAATTCTTTATCAGACATTTCCATGAGTTCCATTGTAGTTGCAGACCATGTTTACTTTCTTAACCATGGCATCGTCAGAACAATCACAGATCCTATCACAAAAGAGATACTCAGTACTGTTGAATGGATGGACAGATGGATGGGTGGATAAAAAGATGGATGGATGGATTTGCACAGCTGTTCTATATCTCCAGAGACCAATGCATTTTTTTTATCCTCTCTGTTGCTTAGCTGCTGGCTCCACCCAGAAAAAGGACTTACATGGGCATTTCTTGGACCCATCTGCACCATAGTCTCTGTAAGTAATGTCATCAGAGCCTCCTTACTGCCCAGATGATGGTCATTAGAACATCAGGATTATGGGGCCAGCAGGTGACTTGGTGGTTAAGGCACTGGACTCCCATATGGCCGACTGTGGCTCAAGTCCCAAACCTGGTGACTTGTTTTCTCACCTTCCCTTTCTCTCTGTCTTGCTCTTCCTTTCTCTCTTTCTCTCTCTTTCTGTCTCTGTTTGATGAATGCACATGCCCTATAGCAAATTTTAAAATAATAATAATTTTTTTATTTTTAAAGCAGGATTATATGGATGATAGCATAGCAGAAATAGCCCCAAGTTGTTAAGGATTGGGTTGAGTTTTCTAAGACTTCTACTAAATCTACAAACTATAATAATGTTATTACATATTAGAAACTACTAAAGTGTAGAATTATACTGTATGGGCTAAGGTAAAGAGGTAACAGTTTTTACATTTTATTTGATAAACCTTTTGCATTTTCTTGAAGGTCAATTTAGCTTTCTTTCTGATCACTATCTGGCTTTTGAAAAGCAAATTGTCCTCCCTCAACAGTGAAGTGTCCACCCTCCGGAACACAAGGTAAAATGGAGAAGATGGTAACCCCAAAGATATGTATGGCTTCCAATAGCAAAGTCATGTGCCTTGGGGCCAGCAGGTGGCATGGTAGTTGAGATGCTGGACTCCCACATAGCCAACAGTTGTTCAAGTCCCAGACCTGACTTTTTTGTCTCTTTCCTCTCCCTCTCTTTTTCTCTCCAGTGAGCATGTGTGCCCTATAGCAAATTAAATAATAACGATAATAAATTAAATTAATAATTCTTTTTTAAAATAAAGGAAAAAAATTGGCTAAATGAATTTGCAGATCTTCATGGAACATTATAAAACTTTTGAAACTTAACATTATGAAGGGTCACTGCCTTCTTCAGTCCATGTCACAAGGGAGAAAGAGAAAGGAAGAAAAAGAAGGAAAGAAAGAGAGGAAAACATTACCTGAGTCCGGGCAACTTAGGAGAGAAGAGATTTAGTCAGTTCATGGTGTGGAGATTCATAGTCCAAGGTCCAGGGACCATATCTGATGGGATTCTTCTGACAACATCACAACACGGTAGATGGCAAAAGGGTATGGTCTATGCATCTCCTGGTCTCATTCCTTCTCCTTATAAACCCATCATAATTAATCACGTGTGCCCTGTCTTAATGATCTTCACTCTAATCTCCTCCCAAAGGCCTCACCTTTCAACACCATAATCAGACCACATTTTCATCTTCTTAATCTCATCACAACCAAATCTCAACACAAAAAAATTGGGGGGAAGACATCAAAACCATAGTCTTGACAGTAAAGGCCTAAGATGATTATAACTCAGTCTCATAATCATCTACAGGACAGAGCAGGAGCTGCCGTTGGGTGGAGATGAAAACAGCCTTGATCTCACTGCTCTGAGAGAATAACAACACCCTTTCTCCTCCTACTCAGGATGCTGACATTTAAAGCACTGGCTCAGCTCCTCATCCTGGGCTGCACCTGGTGTCTGGGCCTCCTGCAGGTGGGTCCAGGTGCCCAGGTCATGACCTACCTCTTCACCATCATCAACACCCTGCAGGGAGTCTTCATCTTCCTGGTCTACTGCCTTCTCAGCCAGCAGGTACCTCTGCCCAGCTCCCCAACTAGGACCCTCCCCAGCTGCATGCTCTCATGAGCTGGCTCGGAGCATGTTTTGCTTCTGCAGGTCCGGGACCAATATAGGAAATGGTTCAAAGGGATCCAGAAACGAAGAACTGAGTCCGAGGCATACACGCTTTCCAGCAAGGGTACGTTGGACACCTCCAAACCCGACACGGTAAGACCACATGTGACTCCCAGAGTACATTCCTAGCAGACCCACTTGAGCAGTAGGTGTCTTATCACCCTGGGCAACCTGGGCACACAGCAGGGGATGCCCTGGACTGACTCATCAGTGTTCGTTTCTTTTTTTTGTTTTTTAGAGGTTTTCCCCTTAGGGTGTATGTGCTCACGAGAGAAAGACAGAGATAGTGAGAGAGAAAGTGAAAATAACCCCCTTAGGGAGTATGGCCACGCTGTAATCCCTTCTCCTCCATTCTACTCTCGGGATCCTGGGCACACATGCACATGCACCTGGCATGAGTATTAAGCCACCAGGTCTGGGACGTGAACCACAGCTGGCTGTAGGAGAGCCCAGCAATGTAACAGCTATGCCATCTGCTGGTCCCCAATGTTTGTTTCTAAGACGGCTACACTTTTACACCTTGGGGATCTGTGCTCATCTTGAGACATGAATGCTCTTATTGAACACCTGCTATGAGCGTTGCATGGTTAACTCAATGAGCAGGAAGTGATGGTCTGAAGCAGCAGTGCATTTTCTACTCAGAAACACACTCTCCTAGAGACCAGCAGTTAGCATAATGGCTATGTCGCTGGACTCCCACGTAGTCGACCACGGTTCTAGTCCCAGACCCAGTGGCTTAAAACTCACGCCGGGTGCATGTGCGTGCGTGCCCAAGATCCCAAGAGAAGAACGGAGGAGAAGGGATTGCAGCGTGGCCATCCCCCCTGGGGGGGTGATTTCTCACTTTCTGTCTCTCTCTCTGTCTGTCTGGCGAGCACATGCACCCTATAGCAAAAAAAGAAAAAAGAAAAAGAAACACACTATCCTATCCCCTTTCTTTACACAAAACTTTCTCACCCAATCTCCTGGCCCCACCACTCCACTTTGTCCTGCTAGACCAATGTCTGGAGTCACCCCAAAAGCAGCAGCAAGAGAATATCCTCAACAGTCCCAAGATGGCTTTTGGGGTTTTTTTAAGATTTTTGACATAGGGCATATGAGCTCACTGGAGGGGAGAGAGACAGAGAGAGACAGTGAGAGGGAACGTGAGAAATTGTGCCCCAGGGAGAATGACCATGCCGCAGACCCTTCTCCTCCATTCTCCTCTTGGGATTTTGGGCATACACGCACATACACCTGGTGTGATCTTCAAGCCAACAGGTTGGAAATGTGGGCGTCCAGTGCCTTAACCCACTGCTGACCCCCAAGATGGGATATTGTGTGAAGTCTCTCCTCCAAGCAGATAGGTCGAAGTGAGATGCTGGAAGCCAAAAGAAGATGGGGTCACTTGAGGCATGGAGGACAGAAATTAGTTTCTAGTCAGTCAGTCCCCCCTTAACTGTTGCCCTATCTTTTTTTTTTTTGGAGATGTTTTTGCTATAGGGTGCATGTGCTCACCAGAAAGAGAGAGACAGAGAGACAGAAAGCAAAATATCACCCCCCAGGGGGGATGGCCATACCGCAATCCTTTCTCCTCCATTCTCCTCTCGGGATCTTGGGTACACACACAAGCCACCAGGTCCAGGACTTGAACTGTGGTCAACTACATGGGAGTCCAGTGACATAGCCATTATGCCAACTGCTGGCCCCATCCCTATCTTTTTTTATCAGTATTTAAGTTTGCTACAGGGTATGTGTACTCACCAGAAAGAGAAAGAGAGAGGGAGACAGAGACAGAGAAAGTAAGCTGCCAGGTCCGAGACTCGAACCACAATCAGCCATGTGGGAGTCCAACACCTGAGACAAAAGTGGCACAGAGCCATGGCCCTGGCCATGGTTACATAAGGCAACGTGGGTACAGTGTGGACCCTTTCCTAGCTGTTTATTGACAAGTATGATTCAGCATATCCTATGAGGGAGTCAGTCTGTCTCTATTTTCCCCACATGGGGCCAGTCGGGATTCCAAAGGTCAAAGAACTAAATGTTTGATCCAAGCTTGAGTGAAGGGAATTTACTTACAGAGCAGGCTATGGAATAACCTCCTAACAGACAGTGAGAGAGATCATTTCTACCTATGTATGTCTATAACAAGGGAGTTAGGCAATGGAGTTTATCTAAGAGTTTAAGGAACTTGGCTCAGGGCTGGGGCCAGGTGCTTTTATTGTTTTGGGGCAATGACCTAAAAACCTTTATCAGTGCCTGGGAATGTTAAAGGCCCCAGCATGGGTCACACGTGCAGGAGAAATGTAGCTGGCAAGATTTTACAGAGCGTTCAAGGTACTTTGTGTTTGTTGATAAGAACAAAAGAAAAAGTGAGGAGAACTAGGAAACCCTACAACCCCAACAAGGTAAATCTGAGGGGAAATGGCATAACATATTTAAGAATTAAAAAGAAATAAGTGTTAGCTGGGATCTGGACTTGCTTAACAAGCCTGCCTCTACCCACTACCACATAGTACTGTCTTGACTCAGCACCCTGAGCATGAGTTTCAAGCTGCCAGGTCTGGGACTCAAACTGCAGTCAACCATGTGAGAGTCCAACACCTTAACCACCACACCACCACCTACTGACCCCGAATTTCTTCTTTTTTAAATAAAATTTACTGCATATCTTTGAAATTTACAACATATTATGGGACACATAGATAATAAAATAGTTACTATAGTGAAGCAAATTAATCTATTATCTCATACAGTTACTCTTTTTGCAACACGGGCAGCTAAAATCTACTTATTTAATAAATTTCTTGTTTCCTGTTCTAAATAGAACTTATCATTTATATTACCACAGTCTTATGATATCCTTTATTTTACAATGTCATTCCAGATTAATTAGAAAGATCTTCTGGAGTCTATCTTCTCTTCCCCCTGGAAAATCTGAACGGTCATTCTCTGAGCCATTAAGTGGGGAGAAAAAAATTTTGTTGCATATGTTTCAAGAAATGCCTCATGCCAGCAATATGAAGGATGTCACAGAGGACATGCTTGCTGCAGAAATGGGAACTCTCCTGTGCCCTACAGCAAATGCCCTGCATACAGATGGCCAGCTATGGCCCAACTTATCAGTCACTCTGGGTTCACCTCTCTTCTGAGTCCTCTCATTCCTACAAAGACTTTTTCAGATGCTAAAATTTCAAAGTGGGAAAACCAACCTCAAAAAAACTCTTTTTTTCTTTTTTAGGACTAAAAGTCCTTTATTTATTTTAATTTTTTAATACATTCAATCATTATACATCATTTGGCTAGCAAAGGGAATTTACCCTACATGAAAAACACCTCAGACCAGTCCAGTTGAGAATGCTATGCATGTTATCACCAACAGATAATAAACCATTACTGTGTCCCACAAATGTCTTGCCTCTCTATTTTCTCCCCCTAATTTCCTTCCCTAGACGCTTCCCCTCTCCCACCCTTCTTCCACACTGTCTCCAGTGTCCATAACTATTTTCAATGCTTTTATTATGTTCTCCAATATTTCGGTCTCTACCATAGAGTGCAGACAATCAGTATGTATTAAGTGGAGACATACCATATCTTTCTTTCATAACCTGGCTTGCTTCACTAAGCAATAAATCTTCCACATACAACCACTTTCTATCAAATGCCAGGGTCTTGTTTTTTATGGCTGAATAGAATTCCACAGAGTATATGTGCCAAACTTTTTCAATCCATTCGTCTGTTCATGGACATTTGGATTATTTCCATGTCTTAGCAATCATGAATAATGCCACAATAAACATTGATGTGCGAGCACTTTTCCAACTGGGCAGTCTCCTGTCCTTTGGGTAGATTACCCAGGAGTGGAATTGCTGGATCATATGGTAGTTCAATGTGTAGGTCATCAAGGAACTTTCATACTATTTTCCACAGTGGCTGGACCAATTTACATTCCAAATTTACATTAACACCAACAGTGTAGGAGAGTTCCCCTTTCATCACAACCCCACCAACACTTACCATTTTTTGTATTTTTAATATTCACCATTCTGACAGAGGTTAAGTAGTATCTCATTATGGTTTTAATCTGCATCTCCCTTATGATGAGGGATGTTGAGCATTTTTTGATATGCTTTTTGGCTGTTTGTATGACTTCCCTAGAGAATTTTTTGTTCATCTCATTTTCTCATCTTTTAATTGGATTAATTATTTTTTTTCCAGGTAAGTCACTTGAGTTCCCTGTGTATGCTGGTTGTCAGTCCCTTATATAAGGCATCGTTTACAAAAATATTCTCCCATTCCAAGGCTTGTCGATTCACATTGATTAGTATGTCCTTGGCTGCACAGAAACTTAACCTGATGTAATCCCACTTGTCTAATTTGGGAATTATTGCCTGTGCTTTGGGGTCTTATTTAAGAAGTCTTTGTCTATCCCAATGTCTGCCAGAGTTTCCCCAGTGTTTTCCACAAGCAGTTTTATAGTTTGTGGTCTTAACTTTAGCTCTCTGATCCATTTTTAGTTTATTTTTGTTAATGGTGAAAGATATGGATCCAGTTTCATCTTTCTGCAGGTGGATACTCAGTTTTACCAGCATTATTTGCTAAAGAAGTTTTTTTTTTTTTCTTTTCCCACTGGATTGACTGGTGCCCTTTGTCAAAAATCAGTTGGCTGTATGTTTTGGGGTTTATTTCTGAGATTTCTGTTCTATTCCATTGGTCCATCTGTCTGTTTTTGTGTCAATACCATGCTGTTTTGGTTATCATCACTTTCTAGTATATTTTTGGGTCAGGGAGTGAGATACTTCCCACTCCACTCTTCTTGCACAGGATTGCTTTGGCCATATGGGGTCTTTTATAATTCCAGACAAATTCTATGATTGTCTTTTCTAGGTCTGTGAAGAATGCCTCTGGTAGTTTGGTTGGAATTGCATTAAATATGTAGATTAATTTGGGTAGAATTGTTATTTCAATTATATTAATTCTTCCAAGCCAGGAACATGTTATGTCCTTCCACTTTTTTGTGTCCTTTTCAATATCTTTTTAAAGATTTTCATAATCTTCCTTGTAAAGGTCTTTGACTTCCTTGGTTAGGTTATCCCTAGGTATCTTCTACATTTTGTGGCTATGATAAAGGGATTCTGTTTTTTAATTCTACCTCAGTCAGCTCATTGTTTTATATAGAAATGCTATAAGTTTTTGGATGTTGATTTTGTATCCTGCCACTTTACTGTATTCATGTATTACTTTGAGAAGTTTTGCATGGATACCTTTGAGTCTTCTATGTATACCATCATGTCATCTGCAAGTAAAGATATTTTCAACTCTTCTTTGCCTATTTAAATGTCTTTTATATTATTCTCTTTCTGATTGCATTGGCTAGGACTTTCAGTACTATATTGAAAAGGAGTGGAGAAAGTGGGCAGCTTTATCTTGTATCAGTATAATACTAGCTATAGGCTTTCATGTATGGCTTTTGTGTTGAGAAGTGACCCTTCTATGCCAATTTTGATAAGAGTCTTAACCATAAAGGGATGTTGTATTTCGTTGAATGTTTTCTCTGCATCGATTGAAATGATCATATGGGGTTTTTTTCTTTCTTTCTGCTAATATTTATTGTGTATTACGTTTATGATTTTGTGTATGTTTAACCACCCTTGCATCCCTAGAAGAAAGCCTACCTGGTCATGATGAATAATCCTTTTAAAATGTTGTTGGATATGATTTGCAAGTATCTTGTTGAGAATTTTTGCATCTATATTCATCAGAGATATTGGTCTGTAGTTTTCCTTTTTTGTCAAGACTATCTGTTTGGGGAATGAGGATGATGGGGGCTTCATAAAATGAACTTAGGGGGACCAACAGTTAGCGTAATGGCTATGTCGCTGGACTCCCACATAGTCAACCGTGGTTCGAGTCCCGGACCCGGTGGCTTAAACTCACACCGGGCGCATGTGCGTGCGTGCCCAAGATCCCAAGAGGAGAATGGAGGAGAAGGGATTGCGGCATGGCCATCCCCCATGGGGGATGATTTCTTGCTTTCTGTCTCTCTGTCTCTCTCTGTCTGGTGAGCGCATGCGCCCTATAGCAAAAACCTCTCCAAAAAAAAAAAATGAACTTAGGAGGATTCCTTCATTTTGGATCTCTAGAAACAGTTTGAGTAGAATGGGGGTTAACTCTTCTTTAAAAGTTTTGTAGAATTCGGAAGTGAAGCCATCAGGACCTGGGCTTTTGTCAGGAGGTTATTTATTACTGATTCAATCTCATGTCTTGTTGTAGGTCTATTTAGGCTTTCTATGTCTTCCTGATTCAATCTTGGTAGATTATATGCATCCAGATATGTGTCCATCTCATCCATGTTCTCTTGTTTGTTGGCATATAGTCACTCACAGTATTCCAATGATGTTTTACATTTCTGTTGTGTCTGTTGTAATACTGTCTGTACATATTTATCTAATTTCTTTCTCTTTTCTTCTTAATCAGTCTAGCTAATGGTGTGTCAATCTTGTTACTCTTTTTAAAGAACCAGTTCTTGCTTTCATTTATTTCCTGTATAGTTTATTTTCTCTTTCATTTATTTCTGCTTGAATCTTTATTATTTCTTTTTCTCCTGGTATTTTTTCGAGTTTTTTAGTTGTTACTTTTCCAATTTCTTGAGGCATGATGTTAGGTTGTCCGTTTGCCACCTTTCCATCTTTTTCTTATGCACACTAATTACTATGAATTTCCCTCTTATAACTGTGTTTATGGTGTCCCATAGATTATGGAAACTCCTGTACTCATTATCATTTGTTTCCATAAATCTTTTCATTTCAGACTTAATATCTTTGATAGTTGAGAAGTCATTCAGGAGTAGGTTGTTAAATTTCCATATGTTTGTGTATTTTCAAGAATTTTTCCTGAAATTAATATCAAGTTTAATTCCATCATGGTCAGAGATGTTGCTGGCTATAGTTTCTATGCCTTTGAATCTGTAAAGGCTTGATTTGTGCCCCATCCTATGGTCAATCTTTGAAAAAGTTCCATGTGGGGGTGAGAAAAATGTATATTTTGTGGTCTTAGGGTGGAAAGTTCTATACTACATATCTGTCGAGTCCATTTGATTTATAGTATCATTTAAGTCCTATGTCTCTGCTTATTTTTTGTCTAGAAAATCTGTCTAAAGGAGATATTGGGGTGTTGAGATCCCCAACAATTACAGTGTTTGAAACCTATTTCTCCTTTTTTTCTTTGCGGGGGAGATTCTTTCAACATTTTATTTTTTGTTTCTAAAATACAAATCAAAATACATTTTTGTTACTTATTATTTTACCACGCTTGACATTTTTTTCAATACAAAGTGACTCGATAGATAGTTGAAAACTTCCTTTTTCAAAACAATACATTTTATTTTGGAGGGAAACAGCTCACCAGAGAGGTACTGGATACACAGGGTACTGTTTTCCACTATATTGGAGCATACCCTCCAAATTAATATTTGGTCCACTAAAATATATAGATATTCCTCCTATAATAAAAATAAATTAAATCTCATGACTATAAAAACAGAAATATTTGGCTTAGGCCTCTGAATGAGCTTGAAAATTTAGTTGGGATATATTTCAACTGTACTGGGTAAACGTAGAATCCATCCAGACCCATCTAGCCGAACAACTGGCCCACTGCTGTTGTGGTTGTTCTGCCTTGCAGGGGTACAGAAGGTGCCGATAATTCCCAGCAGCCACTTACTTACTCAAGACTAACCAAAATTCAATATAGAATAATACACAATAGTAGAACACTCTCAATAGTTATTCAATGCCTGGGGAAAGCAAGTTATACGCTTAGAACAACACGTCTGCAAGAACAACAGTCAACACATTTATAAACTTCATCATCCACAGGTGAATGGTGTCATCTGTACAAGTACATTACTTTCCAGGACACTGGGGACAACAACAGAGCATACAAAGTAAGACTAAATCCAAGTTGTTTAACCTTCTCCCATTCTCTTGAGCATTAAACCTAGGCCACCTTTGGCTACTTGCAAGGGTGTCTTTTCTTCTTTATTCTCAATACTTGTTCCTTGGGAGACCAGCAGTTTTGCTTCTTCCACTCTCTCCTTATCACAGGCTAAGTATAGAGGAGTGTTATCTTCAGTGTCTTGGATGTTTGCAGATGTTTTGTAGTACAGAGGATATGAATCATCTTCAAGTTACCCTTGGCTGCAACCCAGTGCATTGCTGTAGCCTCATAATGGTCCTTAGCATCTGAATTAGCCCCACCTTCTAGTAACATGACAACAATCTCATGCCTGTTTTTGGAAGCTGCATAATGTAGGGGTGTACAGCCATTTTGGTTGACAGCATTCACTTGAGCACCTGTTCCCAGAAGGGCTTTTATAATCTGATCCTGGTCAG